CGCCCTGTCTCGCCATCGTACCAAAACCGACCTCAATTGAGTGAGACTTTAGTTATCAGGGCTCGAAAAAATTTCTCTTGCTTTCCATCCCAAGCTCAGGTCGTTCCGCAGCTTACGTATCACTACGAGGCGCTCTCGTCACCAGTTTTATCCCGGAGATTTCCTTCAGCGCATCTCCTCTTCGCCAGTGATTGTGTACTGATAGCCGAGGATAATGCGCAGCAATCCCCTGAGCCTCATCAGGCAGGAAGCCGGCAAAATCGGACTACAAATTCATCCCGGCAAGACTCAGTGGATGCACAACGAACAAGTTCAGTACCAGCCGATCCTCCTAGAAGGCCAGGAGATCGAGCGAGTCTCCTCTTACGTATATCTCGGTAAAGCGGTCAACATGAATAACGATCTCACGCTCGAGATTAGCAGACGCCGCAGAGCGGGCTGGACCGCTTCAATAAAGCTCCGAGATGTACTAACTTCTAAGCACGTAGACCCCAAAGTCAAAGCTCACGTCTTCAACTCGCATGTTCTTCCCGCGATGACCTACGGGGCGGAGACGTGGAGCACCACAGTCTCTGAAGAGGAGAAACTCGCAGTCACTCAGCGAGCCATGGAGAGGGCCATGTGCGGGGTAACGCTCCGAGACCGCATACCCAATGACACCATCCGCGCTCGTACGATGGTGAAGGACGTCGTCGATGCCATCTATAATTCCAAGGAAGGTGGGCCGGTCATGTGGCTAGACTCGCTGGACGAAGAGAGTGACTGACTGGTACCCAAGGGAAAAACAAGGCCCAGAGGCAGACCCCCCACCCGATGGGCAGACCCTCTCGTGAAGATGTACGGCCAGTTGTGGCGCAGAAGAGCCCGAAGCAGAGCGACCTGGAAGATGTGCGACCTGCGTTTCTGGCGTGCCCGGGACGAATAGCGGTCGAGAAGTAAAGAAGTAAAATGAAGTAAAATGTTCGTATTCGACAGGACAAGGATAGCCAAGTGGTAATAAGCGTAGGATAATGTCTGCGCTTCTAAAAGGCACGGATCCGGTCTTTGTCGAGGCTTAAGCATACCTTGCAAGGTATGCAAAGAGGTTCTGGTACCGGCTTCAGGGTCGCAATCAGTGACAGGCTGCCTGGTGAAGACACTCTTACAAAAACTATGTTTAAAGTCACAGCATTTATCTGTGGTGAATCGAGGACGTCATTCGGAAGTGGTGCACAGAACCCCCGCTCAAGTTGTGTGATCAGTGTGCGAGGGATACCGAGGAGTGTACGACCTCGGCAAACGCAGCATCATCCGGTCTATGCCTTAAAGAGACTTGATGGAAAGGAGCTACTGCTACGGAAATAAGAGAAGGTGCCAAACTCTACTACAATGGAAAAGACCGAAAGGAGCGGCGTGGCCATGGCAATAAGAGTAAGAGTAAGTAGGAGTAAGACACCACCAAGAGCGGAGCGTGCCAAAGCATGGGATCCAATCTATGGGGCGGAAGGATAGACACGGAGGATGCTTACTGCACATATGCGCATACGTCTACGGGCCGCATTCTGGTTGCCCCGAAAGAAAGACGAGTTCTAACCAGGGTGAAAATCGTGTCGAGTACGTGGTCGCAGAGGTACGACCCCCCCCCGAAATCGAGATCCTGGCACGACCCCCTCTAACAGAGCAAATTAATTCAATTAAAATAAATCCTGCAAAACAAATCAAAAAAAATTCTGCAAAATAATGCTAAGGACGCTTCATCTTGTCATCTATGCACGTCTTCCATCGCTGCATACTTTTGTGTACATACTGAAATATCGACTCGAGGAAAGAGGCATTAACTTTGTGTGACCTCAAGGCGAGGTTCGTTCAGAAACGCACAGAAATCCTGAAGACACGGGGTTGCGATTCAATCTTGATTCTTGCTTGAGTATATCAAAACAGCCGAGTGTATCAAAGGCCGATTCAACGGCAGCTGCGGCGCGATTGTCACTGGGTCAGATTTGCCGAAATTTCAAAAAAATGATTGGCGTAGGTCAGAAGGGTGGGGAAGGGGTCGTACTTTTGAAAATTGAAGGGTTGCGATGGCGACACCGGAGGCCGTTTTAGCCGGGTTTTAAACACTTATGAAAAAATTTGACAAAGTATGCGTAAGTTGTCAGAAGTCAAAATTAAGGGGTTTTCCGCTTCATTAGACGATTTTACCCTTCATCATTCCCACTCTCGTCCCGTACCGCTCGTCTTGCGGTTTGGAAGAAGAAGTGTCAATTGTTCCCATGATCAAACACTATAGCATGGATGGTGACGGTGGTGATCGGGGATGGGCGGCGGTCGTCAAAATTTCGGAATTGGAACCAAGGGCGGTTGTCCCTCCCTGGAAGATCCACAACGGATGCCATCTTCATCGCTAGGCAAGTGATGGAGAAGTATCGAGAAAAACGCCGACCCTGCTACCTAGCCTTCCTCGACCTGGAGAAGGCGTTCGACCGGCTACCGCGAGCAGTACTATGGAAGCGCTTAGGGAACGGAACGTGCCAGAACACCTAATCTCGCTGGTGAAGGATATGTACGATGGGGCTACGGCAGCAAGCTTACATACTATAAAGCCTTCGTCTGTCGCTCTGTCTATCGTTCTGTGTGTCGTTCTGTCTGTCGTTCTGTATGTCTGTCACGAAATTCATAACTCGGTTGGGAGAAAGCCTACAGAGCAGAAAACAAATTGGGTGTAGGGGAGCAATGTCTAAGGTGTTCCCAGCATACATGACGTGGGCGGAGGTCCGCCCACAATGGGCGGGGCGCGCTCTGAAGTGTACAGCGTTTTCTACAAGTCCTCATAATTTGGGCCGGAGAAGTCTTAGTGAGCCGGAAAAAGGTGGATAAAGGTGGGTGGAGGAGTGGAGGTCAACTGTCATCGGTGGGCGGGGCTTGACCAAAGTGGGCGGAGTTTGCGACGAAAATTCATAACTCGGCTCCATGAAGTCTCCGGAGGCCGGGAAAAGGTGGATAGAGGTGGGTGGAGGAGTGGAGGCCAACTGTCATTGGTGGGCGGGGCATGACCAAAGTGGGCGGAGTTTGCGACGAAAATTCATAACTCGGTTCCAAGAAGTCCCGGAGACCGGGAAAAAGGTGGATAGAGGTGGGTGAAGGAGTGGAGCCCAACTGCTGTTGGTGGGCGGAGCATTTCCAAGGGGGCGGAGTTCTCCACAAAACTTTGTGACTCGGCTGCAAGGAAGTGCTGGAGACCGGGAGAGAAGTGAGCGAAGGAAAGGAAGTGAATTTCTAATGGTGTGCGGAGGATACACCAAAAAGCAGGATTCGCCGCCAAAATTATAAATCGGCTCAGAGATAGTTCAGAGAGATCGGGTAAAAAGTGGGAAGAGGTTGGCGAGAAAAAAAAGGGCGGAACATGCAAAGAAATAGGCGGAGTTCTCCACGAGGTTCATAATTAGGTCCGGAGGCAGTCTGAGGCCGGGAAAACGGACAATTGGTTGACGATTTACGGACAATTATTAATTATTAATTAATTACGATTATGGTGGAGGAAGGAGGGAAGTCAAAAGCCATCGGTGGATGAAGCATGGGGCAATCGGATAGAATTCAGCTTGAAAGTCAAATATTCGAAGTGTATTGGGCCAAATTCGAAAATTCACGCCGCACCATCCATATCGCCGCAGAACTGTGCTGTGCGCGCAACGCGTGCGGCGCCAACTGGTAAATATATATACAGTACTTATTGGTGAAATCAGTAGTGACCGTCTGTGAATGTTCAAAACTTCTTCCAGCTATACCTGCTCATCCTGCGGTCCATGTCAGCTCTCAATTTCAATCGGATAGCCAGCCGTCATTACTCATTTTGAAAAACGATGGATCGATTTACTACAGGTTCGTTGTTCGTTTTCGGTTGAATAAGCGCACTGCGGAGCTCCATGTACATCACTTCCAGTGTTCTTCCCAGGCACCTGCTGTCGTGAGATTTCCCTTCTCACGCCAAAAATATGCACCTGTCGCTACACTCATTTTATTTGCTATGTTAACATTTCGAGAATGGATGCTTGGGGTGGGTGGATGTCATACTTATAGTAAAGGAGATAGTAGCCAGTATAGAAAAGCTTATCAGATTGATGGTATGCTGGTTAGGTTCCTAGTTTTGTTGTCTTATCTCCAGACTTCGAACACCTTATAAAAAGGCCAAAATTTTACTCGGTTTGTGCTTATAAAGCGCGCTTACGGTGTTAACGCAATCACAACATACGAAGAACTAATGTCTTAAAACCTGCGATTCCCGATCTTGTTAGTGGTTGCTTTATTAAAGCTCCGATATCATCTGTCATGAGGATCATTTTGGGTAAACAAAGCGTGTCCCGGAACGGTGGGGAGGTATATCCTCTCACCCCATCCCGCTACCGTGTTGTTCCCAGTCTGGAGGACCCGACCGTCCTCCGGGTATCTTTCTCAAGCGATGATAGCAGTTCTGGTTCCCCTTCACGCAGATGAAGGGCGCTCATTCTCAGCGGGTCATACTCGGGTCCGTGCCGCTTCCCCGTACAGAGACCGCTCACTGAGCTAGCTACCTGCGCAATAAAAACACAGACAGACACAGACGAATGAAAACCGATGGTACATCGCACAAGTGAGCACCAATACATTTTAAATACACAAATTGAATAAGGCTCTTGTCCTGCATCCTGGCGTCTTCCGTAACTGAAGCTGGTCATGGATGATAGTTGTTGCAAAAATCCCACCTCTCCTCTCCAGAACTTCTTGGAGGGACCAACAGCCAATCAAATTCTCCGGTCAGAGCGGGACGAACCCCGATAGAGACGCCTGATGTGAACGTACCGGCGCTTCGCTTAAGCGGAAGGCTGAGGCTACCTCTTTAGAAGCGTTCCAATTCAAGTCATTCAATAATGTAGAGTTATGAGCAAAACGTACAACGTACTACGGGAAGGAAGGAATCCTTCGCGGAAAAACCTTGCATTCTTTCCCAACACGCATATGTCAGTTGTGATCACTAGAGACAACACACAAAGTTTCACGCATGAAGATTCGGTTTCCGAAGAGAAACAAACTACAAAAACCACACTCTATGGACAATCGAAGGTAAGTGGCGCGGAGCCAAAGGCGGGGCATGGAAAGAAGTCCGCCTTGGGCGGCTACGTATCAGGCGACGCAATGAAAGAATCGGGTTAAAGCGTGCGATTTTGGAGAGTAGAGACAAATCGATCGATAGAATAGGATGCAGTAGAAGTGTGAGATGTGAATGCAATAAGTCAAAAGGCCAGAAAGAGTTTCTAGTGACGGCACTCCAAGAACCAAGTGGAAGCATTCCCGTCGCCAGCATTTGTGACAGATGTCCGGCGGTACTTTGAACGCGTAGCAGCCCTTTCGTTTTTCGAATTTTTTACCAAAACAAATGCAATTTTTTTTGTTCTTTCGTGAACGATGGGATCCAAGCCAGTGGATTATGAGTGAGGTAGAATCACGATTTTTTCGAGAAGGACTCCTTTGAACTAAGGTTGCACGTCTCGGGCACCGCAATAATCTAATATACAGAGGTAGTAGAGCTCATGAGGTGTTCTACGCGCTCATGTACACTCTCTAAGCAAACATAACGTGAAGCCCCTACTCCTCAACTCGGCCTCTGGTGACGGCTAAACCTGGCGAGGGTTGGGGCCCTAATGGCGCACGCTAGTATGGCCGCGCGCACTCCAAAAAGGACCTCTGAGCGAGCGAGGACCGGACTTGCGGTGCGCGTATACAGGGGGGGCCAAAAAAAAAAACATTTTGCCTATGTCGGACTTCGGCTCTTTTTTCTTCGCAGAGATTGCTGTCGTTGACGGGAGTTCCTCAGCAGAGTATTCCCTAAGTGTCCCTCTATAAGTGAACGCAGGCCTCTCCTTCACTGCCCTCACCGTCTTCAGAATATGACGTCATCTGTCACCGTCGTCAGGCTCAAGGAGGTCTACCGTAAGAGCTTCAGCCTGAAGCTCTTACGCAATTTCGTGAATCGATTTAATGTTGGATAGTTTTCTAGAGGCATTAGCTACCACTGTGCAAATCCCCTCGGAACTAGCTTTCCAGTAAGGGTCGTTATGGTACACGATCCTTCGAAGACCCCATTGAGATCGACCAGTGCACCATGTTTCCAGGGCTAATTCTTCTGATGCCGTCCACGTACGTGGCCACTATGAAGATTTTCTTATAGAATGGAATGCACTCTTTAATAATAAGTTGGAACCGTTCGGTCTGAGTTGAGCAAAATGTGCTTAAATCCATCTGGAAGTGGAGGCAAAATGTCTTTTTTTTATTGCCCCCCCCCTGTATATAACTGTCGCCTACCGTGACAGAGCAACAGACCGTTGAACCAACATATAAAGCTTGTGATTTCTATAATGGAAGGGTTTCTGCCTACAATCGAAAAGCCTTGAGGGCAAACCTCGCTAACCTCCACACAATCACCCTTCTCTTATACTCTTCAAAGTTATTAAAGCTAACGAAGAAACAGAAACAGAAATATCTTCGATGACTTCGTCACCCTTGGCCTAACTGCTCATCGAAAGAAGTGAGTGGAAGCGCTCGATGATGAGTGGTATAGAGCGTTTATTCTTCCATGCCACTTATCATCTCCTCACATGTTTTTTTTTTGCAGTTACAGCCACACCCAGTTTTACCGTGCTCCAGACAATCTTTAGAATTAAGGTTGATTTGCGGACCAAGTGCATGTGTTCCACCGCGAGCGACTTTTGTGCATCATCGGAGCATTCTTCGATTCATATCCAACCCGCAACTGTCGCTAATAACGTCCGGCTTAGCTCTATCTCTACATATCGCTTAATTTCAGTGATACTGGATCTCGACGCATGCCGTCATGCCATTACGAAAGTTTCTTCAACACTCCATTCACCTGCGCCGAGCCGCTCAGCTACTTCACCGCTTTAGTGAGTGGACTTTTTGAAACAGGGTTGTGAGCCAGGACATGTCGGATTGCGCGATAAAGACGTTGGCATCACTCGTGCAGCATACGAAATTACATGCCGTGTCTAACAAGGGAAGGGTACAAGTTCTAAGCGGCTATTTGTAACGAGACATACACTGCCAGACGTGTTTTTGGACATCATCTCGATTCTGCCCTCCAAATCTATGGAACGATTCTTTGAACGTAGTTATGAAGCGGGATAATGTAGTGGTAGCTGCTTGGGCCTGCAAGCAAGAGGTCGTGTATCGACTTCTAGGAGAGTTCTGGCTTTTTGCTTCTCCTGGAGACATTGCCGACGGGAGCTTCATCATGCTGAGTTGTGTTATAGCTATTAAAAGTTTGACCGAGCTAAAGGAGGCATCGCCCGCAGTGTGCGCGACCACCCACCAGCGCCATTTGCAAAGGATCACCTCTGCTACCTTTAACGTATGCTTCGGGCTCTTTCGGATGTAACAGAGGTGATATTCGTGTTCAGCGCTTTGAAGTACCCCGACAACTTTTGATTCAGATGTGAAATTTTGATCCGATTCGAAATCAGGGCGGTCACTCTACACATCAACGCCAAGTTGTCGCTTTCTTATCGCATGATGGAATTAAACTTCCACTAATATTTGCGAAAAGAAATATATATGACTGTCTTACATGCTTGTATTATCGTAAGACTTATTGTTAAATGGTATTTTTTCAAGTACACACTCACTACCGTCTATGGTAGAACAGCGCTAGGTTTACTGGCGTGATAACGCTAGCGACTGATTGTCGACCTACTTTTCGAAATTAATTCAAAATGTCAGTCATACGGAAGTTGGCCTTCAGGGATAATTCGATCCGTTCGGCAAGCATATCGCATCTCCATCATATGATGAGTCACCTTTCGTGACGTAGAAACATCCCGACACTTGTAAAAAAATTCACAAACATTATAATGAAAATAGTTGATGTTTGAAGCGAACTCCTCTGAACACGTGACAGCGTCTTACACAGTGCAAGTTCAGAATTATGCAAATTTGGAAGACAGGCAGCGTCTGAAAATATCGTCTGCGGTATAGGTTTCATTTCAAATGGCTACTACGACCTGGTGTCCTTCCCTTACACGATAAGTCATCATAGCACAACCTCACGGCTATATACCGCAATCAGCATGTTCTTACTCAGATTTTATTTGCTCAGTTGCGTGCCATTCTGATCCCCGAGAAATGGAGACATTAGGTGTTAGCGGGTAAGGTATTGGAAGTAAGTAGTGATGAGATTGAGTACTTCGCAATCTTTGTTGCTTCTGAGCCATACGTAATACCACGATGAAATGCTTTTGCGCTTGCGAAGGACTTGTTTTATACAGATATTAGGTATCTTGTACTGGACAGTGGTTTCTGAAAACCTGACAAAGTTTAAATGTGCTCACAAAATAGACAGCTGGCAAATAGTTTTTGTTCTCTTTTCGGCATGCAAACCAAAAATAAGCATGTAAGAAAAGGGACACATTTTCTTTTTCGCATGCAAGAAATAAATAAAGTGTATTCGAAAACAGTGTATTTTCAGATAACTATCAAAACAAGCGAGACGACAGTACAACGCGCTCAAAGAGCTTACTGCTTCTTCGTTCCTGACTCTTGTCTAAATGGCGGATCTCCCAATGAGGTACCTGGAGTGATGTTTTGTATGACATGTAATAGAGAAGCATGAGCAGCACCACGATTTTCACGTGCGGTGCAGAATTCTTTTATACGAGCTGCTGGATGTGAAAGCTGAGACGGGCATTTCTAAATCACAGCCTCTGTACAAGGACTGCAGCACAAGTCTCAGTTACTAACCTTAACTGACCTAGAGTGGCGCAGTTCTGTTTCGTAGTGGGAATCAGTGGGCCGAGTGAGTTTATTTCACTTGTCCAAGTTTCCGATTGTTATCTTGCCGCCAAAGAGACTTTCTAAGGGAGCGCTTGGTCGTTTAAGAGTGAAATCTCGAATTTCGAGCCACGTTCAAGCTTTTGTGAAAGATGATCCCGTCTGAACGTCACAGTATTGAGTAAGGACATATCGTATAACTTCGTTGCGGCAAAGAAAAACTAACATTGTGAAGTTTTGAACTATTATTCTTTTTCTCCAGACGGCTCATGCAGTTGCCCAACTAACTTCAATGGTGCTAACTGCGAGCATCCGATCTGCCTGAATGGCGCTACAGAAAAGGATTATGAGTGCATATGTGCTGCTGGATACATCGGACAATTTTGTCAATTCGGTAGGTCCATTATCGGTCGGTTTGATTCTCAACAAAAAGCAGTTCTGCTCGCCACCTTCTCATGGTCAACGTTGCAGATAATTTTATACATACCAAGCAATAATGATTCAAAATGTGGCTGATTTTTTCGGTCACGTCTTTTGAAGATCTTGTACTTTCTATCAAAAAATTCTTCAAAGAGAAAAACTCGTAATCAAGATCAATAGCGAAAGAGAGCGATGGGTAGCGGAGGGTCTAGTAGACTACATGTCGTGCTTCCACAAAAACGTTTCCTATAATCGAAGTTGTAAAGTGAACAAAGGGTCTAAATTTTAAGTCGTCCCACCCTGAAATTCCCCTAACCTTATTGTTGGCTTTCACTTTCGCGTATAAACATCTCTTCTAGCTCTAGGTAGCTTCATGTCACTGTGTCTTCATATATTGTGTGTTTCATACTTTTTACCACCATGTTGTTTCATGAGTTACCGGTCATAAAAGAGGATCATATCGGAAGATACTAAACAGGATTCCGGATGGACTATTCGACTTCTTCTTTTATCGAGTTGCACGATGGTTCCAACGCCTACCTAGTGAGGTTATGAGTGGCTCAGAACAGTCAGGTATTCAGGTGTAGGTTGGAAAAAATTGATTTGCTTTAGGTCTTGATGATGCTTGCTGGGTTTGTTTCCTATTGCAGTGTTTTGCGATTGTTGCACGCTTGTTTGCTATCGCCGACATCTCTGAGCATAAGCCCTCTGTCACGGTCGTCAACGAAATTACTTCTGCTGTAGTATTACCTCCTATTAATTTGCAAAACATGGATTCCCCCACAATGTCGGTCGCCAAGCTTCAGTTCTCAGTTCTTTTTCTTGGCAGTTCTTGTTCTTGACCTCGTCCTTGTGAAGCTACATATAAGATGTAGTGCCCTTGCTTTTTATATAAAAGCCTATTCCCTTTTCTGGGTGTTAAGGCTGTGTGGGTCTCCAATCCTTCCGGCTGCATTGGTTGCCTGACGATACTGCATCATTTCTACACAGACTTGCACGCACAACTCAGCTTCCCTCTCATTTATTCTGGTCGGCCTGAAAGATTGTCAGAGGTAGGGAATACCTAACATCCGAAAATCTGGTTTCGTGGTTTCGTCGTTTCGACGTGTCGAAGGGGTATATACTTGACGTTTGGACGCGTTTCACCCCAGCGCACCGATAGAATTCTTGAAGTCCTGTTTTTCCCAGTCACTTCTTGAGAGACATGATTCTACCACTTATTCGACTAAACGTCAGTCTGTCTTCTTTTAAAATTAGATTTCACTTACTTTGGGTTTCCGTTTTTGCTTTCCTTTTTATATGTTATTGCACGGTATCAGCCTTCTAGTTTCTACATATATTTACTGTATTTGGTTCGTCTCTGTTTTATGATGCTATTTCGTTCTGACTTACTGGGCACACTCTTGTGGGTGTATTTTAAAATAAATGAATAAATAAACGGTAGTAGTTTCTCATGCGTTAGCGTGTACCATAGTCGGCCAATCCATCTTTATTTATCTCGTAATCCATATACATTGCAGTCGTAATATGCATCGCAGTTCTTCCCGGGGTAAAAGGCCTGCCAAGCCCGTGGCAGTGTTACGTCGAGCATTGCGCGACGGATGCCCCCTGAAGGTGTGTGGGCACCCCACAATTTCCCACGTTCTGGCGAGGCCAGGGTGCGGGGAACCTGGTGCATATCTCAGTCGGCACTTGGTTACGACAGTGATAATAAAACTTCTGAAGGATAGCAACTTTCACTTTGTCGAATGGATGGTATATCGTATAAGAGACCGGATTGTTGGTTTAGATATTTTGTTTCGCATACTTATTCGGCAAAGACTTTCCTTACAACCGACTTGGACACCCGTAATTACCTCGCTTCGTCCTTTGCTTAGATAGCTACAGACCCCCTATAAGTGTCCTGGACAAGAGATCACAGTAATCAAATAAGTCTTGGTATGGGTAATCGAATGTTTTATAGCGCCTTCTCATAATCGTTTCCTGTATCCTCTCGTCCGAATTAGTCCTACTACTGGCTTTAGAGCTATTACTTTGTGAAGCTACTCATAGGCTGATCAAAATCCCAGCTGGCAGTTCTGCAGCATCGCTTACTACATTGTATCTACCTTCCCCTTTGCTTACAATTGTATCGTATTATATCGAAGTTGTACTTTTGATTACTCATGGAGAATTTTTATTATTTTTTACCTTTATTTTTTTTGCTTTGGTTCCTGGGGCTCCCTCACCGGAGGTGAGTGCGCCCGGCGCAATAATAGAATAAAAAATTTCCCATTGATTCGAACGCGACCTGCGCCTTCAGCAAGCGCACCGCGGAGCTACGAGCGTTGTATCAGCAAAGGGTCGAGCTATGCACCAGTATTCGAACTACGTACCAGCTCGAACGATGTATTCGGTAGTAATTGAAAGCGGAGGAAGTCTCGCCCGTCAGCATGTTGGCTATCGCCCTTTTCCGGCCTCACGAGGGCATGAGAGAACAAGAGGGCATAAGAGACGGGAAAATGGAGGAGTTAGCGTTTGAACGAGAGAGACTTCTGCCACTTTCAAGCGTTGTCGACCGCAGGTACATCGTTTGCGCCGCTGGTACATCGTCCGAACCGCTGGTGCAATTCGCTAACGCATCGTTCGATCCGCTCGCTGTTTCAATGCTAATCTACGTGATTTGCTAGCGAATTCATGGATCAACGAAGTCTAACACCGGCCTAACCACTGCCATAGGTCTCTAGCCAATTAGCGGAGATATCGTGAACGTTGAGGAGAGCAGCATCGATGCGAAAATCAACGGGAACTGGATCCCATTTCTAGGGTTCCAGGCTGTTTTCCATGGTTTTTTCCTCTAACCCCACTG